AAAAAAAAAAAAAAAAGTTAATACTTTATAGTCAAGGCGCAATGGCCTATAATCCCAGCACTTGGGAAGCTGAGAAAGTTGGATTGCCTGAACTCATAGGTCAGGCCTGAGCCAGAGAGAGACCTCATCTCTAAAAATAGCCAGGTGTTGTGGCGGGCACTTATAGTCCCAGCTACTTGGGAGGCTGAGGCAAGAGAATTGTTTAAACCCAAGAGCTGGAGGTTGCTGTGAGCTGTGATGCCATGGTGCTGTATCAAGGATGACAAAGTGAGACTTTGTCTCAAAAAAAAATTAATATTTTATGTTTATCCTACACAATAAAACACCTAAGAATGCTTCAACTTTGATTATCCTTCCTACCAAGTTATATGCTATTATTGTCTAATATTTTTGTTCTATCTTATTTTTTAAATCCCCAGGATTAATAGTAATACCATTTCTTTCTAAATGGTTCCGATTTACCTACACCTGCCATATTCTTGGCTCGCTATTCCTTCCTGCATCCTTTGGGGGTTCTTTTACTGACTATCTGCTCACAGTTCACTGTCAATTTTTGTCTGATAATATCTTTATTTTTTCTTTCTTTCTTTTTTTTTTTTTTTGAGACAAGGTCTCCCTCTATTGCCTAGGCTAGAGTGCAATGGCATCATCATGGCTTACTGCTATCTGGGCTCAAGCAATCTCCCTCCCACAGCTTCCCAAATGGCTGAAACTAGAAGCATGTGCCACCATACTGGCCAAGTTTTCTAATATTTTTTGCAGAGTTAGGGTATTGCTATCTTGCTCAGGCTAGTCTAAACTTCCTAACCTTGGGGGCAGCACCTGTGGCTCAAAGGAGTAAGGCGCCGGCCCCATATGCCAGAGATGGCAGGTTCCAACCCAGCCCCGGCCAAAAACCGCAAAAAAAATGAAAAAATAAATAAATAAAAATAAAATTCCTAACCTTAAGTGACCCCCACCCCACCTCAGCTTCTTACAGTGCTAGGATTAAAGGCATGAGCCACCCGACCCAGTCAGTTTTCTCTTCTTCCTTGAAAAATAATTTCTCTACATACATAAATTCCAAGTTGAGGCTCGGCACCCATAGCACAGTGGTTACATTGCCAGCCACATGAACCAAGGCTGGCCGGTTCAAGTCCAGCCAGGCCAGCTAAACAACAATGACAACTGCAACAAAAAAATAGCCAGGTGTTGTATTGTAGTCCCATCTACTTGGGAGGATGAGGCAAGAGACTCACTTAAGCCAAAGAGTTTGTGACACCACAGCACTCTATCCGGGGCAACTTGGTGAGACTCTGTCTTAAAAAAAAGAAATTCCAAGTTGATAGTTCTTTCTTCTCAGTGCTTTAAAGATATAATTCCACAATCTCTGGCTTCGTTGTTGCTGTTAAAAAATCAGCTGTCACTCTAATAAATGTTCCTTAGTAGGTAGTAATTTTCTCTGGATGCCTTTAAGACTTTTTCATTATATTAGATATTACTCATTTTGACTGTTCTGGGGTACTTGTGAATTTCTTTCTTTTTTTTTTTTTTGAGACAGAGTCTCACTCTGTCAACCCTCAGTAGAGTACCATGGTGTCACAGCTCACAGCAACCTCAAACTCTTAGGCTCAAGAAATTATCTTGCCTCAGCCTTCTGAGTAGCTGGGACTACAGGCTCCTGCCACAACACCCAGCTATTTTCAGAGATGAGGTCTCACTTTGGCTCAGGCTGGACTCAAACTCGTGAGCTCAGGTGATCCACCCACCTCGGCCTCCCAGAGTGCTAGGATTACAGGCATGAGCCACCACGCCCAGCATTACACTAAATTTTTATCTTAGGATTCTTTAGACCACTCTAATAAAATTTGGTAATTAGAAGCCCCAAATATACAAGAGGACTGGCTTGTAATTAGAGTCTGAGGAGTGGCACTCCCCCGACCTTCATTCATAGTTGAGGCTTACAGCATCTTTTTTTTGGGGGGGGGGACAGTTTCACTTTGTTGCCCCTTGATAGAGCTCTGTGGTGTCGTAGCTCACAATAATCTCAAACTCTTGGGCTCCAGTGATTCTCTTGCCTCAGTCTCCTAAGTAGCTAAGACCACAGGCACCTGCCACAGTGCCCTGCTGTTTTTAGAGACAGAGTCTAGCTCTAGCTCAGGCTGGTCTCCAACTTAAGAGCTTAGGCGATCCTCTGGCCTCAGCCTCCCAGAGTGCTAGGATTATAGGCATGAGCTAGCCTAGAACACCTCTTCTTAATGCCTTCTTTTTTAAAAAAACTTTTCTGGGTTAGCCTTTCACTATGAAATCATTTCTCTTCAGGTTTCCAGGCTTTCTCTGGGAATTAAAAACTATAGCAAAAGCATGAAGCTTGAGAGCTAAGTGAGCACTGAAGAATGTCTTCACTTTACCTTTTGGCCTTTGTGGATTTTCCTTGCCCTCTTGGCAGCATGGCTGCATATTTAACTTTAATTACTAAAACATATTTAAGCCTTTACCATGAGAAGGTTTCCCCAATATCTAAGCTACCATATTGTGGACAGGAAAGACCATAACTTATTTTTCGTACCTTATCTCAATCTTCCCCTGCATCCCCTTACAGCCAGACTCCATCGCTTCTGGTTTCGGTTCTCCCCCAATCTACATTTCCTTAAGTGAACCCCCATCTGAGGTGATGTGGCCCTGAGAATTCTCTGCTTGGTGCTACCTTCATGGGGGCTGACCTCCTGGAGCAATAAACTGGGCTCATTCCACCCGCTCAGATGGAGAAGGGACTTTGCAACTTTGTGAGCCCCTGGCCACAGCATCATTAAGATCAGGGATCACTTTATATGTATATATGGAAAATTCTACTATTTTGCAAATTAAAAGCCCTGTATTTTCCAACTGTCCCTTTCTTTTAGCTACCTCACTTTTTCTACTCTGCTTATTTATCTCAAAATAAAGTGTTCCTATTTTCTCTGCCTTTTCTCACACAAACATATGCACCAGTTATTATGAACGCATCAAGCAGAAGAGCCTAACTGCCCACTCTCCGTTCACTTTACCCATCATATGATACAATTTTTCAAGGAGCACTACAGCACAAATGCATTATAAAATTGCCCGCACCCCAACAAATGCACCAGCGGTCAACTGGAATTAATAAATCCACTCTTCAGGAATCCTCATTTGTGTTCAAAGAAAGGAAAAAGAAAATTGGATTTGACAGCAGGTGTTATACAATTGAAAGTCTTTCTCCACAGTGAGTCATAGGGTTGAAAAGCCAGCCTTATAGTCAAATGGTCCGTTCAAGGTTTAAAAGTTTTCTCCCACCCAAATGACTGGCTGAAAGGACCATTAAGAAGCAGCTCCATCTATCTCCCTTTCACCTGCCATTAGCTTTGCTGGCTCCCACATCATCACTTTATTGCCATTTCTTGTATTTAGGACATTATGACAATCCAGAGAATGGAATCTGAACCTTGGGGATGCTGACCTGGCAACAGTCACTTCCTCTTCTCCATAATGTCCTCCTTCACCGTGGAAAAACAAAAATATTATGCCATCCTCTGAAAAATCCCTCTGGCCCTAAACACTTACAGGTCCAATGATAGACCTGAGTTGCTCAGGGTGGCCAACCAGGTGAAAAATCCCATGTAGGCCAACTAATCTAAACTAATGCAGTTTAATCTTTGGACATACAGATCTTTTTTTTAATTTTTATTTATTTATTTATTTATTTTTGAGACAGAGTCTCACTTTGTCACCTTTGGTAGAGTGTCCTGGCGTCAGAGCTCACAGCAACCTCAAACTCTTGGGCTTAAAGCAAAGTCATGCCCTCTCATCTAGGGTGCCTTCCTAAAAGCCATGGCATGGGTGACAAAAACAGAAGTCATATAAATAGCCTTTCATTTCAGCCTTACAAGCACAGTCATAACTCTCACATCCTACCGTGTCTTCCTCTCTGAGTTCTAGTCTTAGAAGGAAAACTGACTTTTGTCAAGGAACAGAAGAAAAGTGTCACCGTCTCTGTGAATTTACTAATTTATATGTCAAATGTGTAAGGATGCAAGGAATATCATTTCCGGTCAGATTCATTCTGCTAAATATCTTTTCTAAGAAGCAGTAGCAGAAAGGTGGTGTGGGATGAAAAATTCCCTATTGGGTATAATGTATACTACTCAGGTCACAGGTATACTAAAAGCTTAGTTTTCTCCACTATGCCAGTCCTCCATGGAACAACTATTTGTACCCCCTACACCTATTAAAATTTTAGAAATTAAATGTAAAAATTAACTTAAACTTAAAAGAAAGAAGTAATAGAGAGAATATGGCTATTTCTATCATATCACTTCAAAAGTTTTCAGATGTTTCTAAATAGTTTATGCTTTCTTTCTAAATAAACAAGTTTTTTGGTCAACTGACCCAGTAATCTTCTATAACATGATATGATCTAAACTTCCTTGGATGACCATGAAACTAATCTAAATCAATGCAGTTTAATCTTTGGACATACAGATCTTTTATTTTATTTTATTTTTATTTATTTATTTATTTATTTTTGAGACAGAGTCTCACTTTGTCACCTTTGGTAGAGTGTCGTGGTGTCAGAGCTCACAGCAACCTCAAACTCTTGGGCTTAAGTGATCCCCTTGCCTCGTCCTCCCAAGTAGCTGGGACTATAGGCACCTGCCACAAAGCCCAGCTATTTATAGAGACAAGGTCTCACTCTGGCTCAGGCTGGTCTTGAACTCCCAAGCACAGGCAATGTACCTGCCTTGGCCTCCCAGAGTGCTAGGATTACAGATATCAATCACCATGCCTAGCCCCAGATCTTTTACATATTTAAAAAAAAAAAAAAACTAAATCAAACAGGGGAAAAAAATCCCTAAAATTTAAGACGAGCTAAAACAAACTTAATAACAATACACAGAAAATAAACGTTTTAACAATACTTCTTATGGCCTAAGACCAAAAGGAAATACAAAGCAATGTTTGATCTTATATTCTAAAATCAAAAGGAACTACAAAGAAATGTTACACTTCATTCGGAAGTTTTATTATTAGTGGCAATATTGACATTTTGAAATATTTTAATACATATTGTCAGGCTGAGCGCCATGGCTCATGCTATAATTCTAACACTCTGGGAGGGAGGCCAAGGCAGGAGGCTCTCTTGAGGCCAGGAGTTTGAGACTAGCCTGAGCACAAAAGCTAGACCCCATATCTACAAAAAATAGAAAAATTAGCCAGGTTGGGTGGCACATGCCAGCTACTTAGGAGACTGAGGCAGGAGGATTGCTTGAGCTCAGAAGTTTGAGGTTGCAGTGAGTTACGATGATGTCACTGCACTGCCCAGACAACAGAATGAGACCATCTCAAAAAAAAAAAAAAAAATATATATATATATATACATATGTGTGTATGCATATGTATATAATACACATAGTCAAATAAGACAAATAATTATGCTAATATTGTCAAGTTTTCAGTATAAGAGGAAAGAAATATATACATAAAATGTAAAAAGTTAAATAAAACCCTATAAAATTAAATTAGGATTGGAAGTAATCAATATGAACTCACACTTTTAAATCTGTCCCCTGAGAAGGCCTAGAAACAGTGACATCTCTATGACAATAACTATCAGTAGCACTGAAAGTTTGGTGTCTGAATAAAATTAATCACTAAGAGGAAGCAGGTATACTTGGAGAAATAGCTGATTCCAGGTTTAAAGTGTTAAAATTGGCTTGGCGCCTGTGCTCAAGCGGCTGGAGTGCCAGCCACATACACCAGAGCTGGTGGGTTCAAATCCAGCCCGGGCCCGCCAAACAAC